CTCTTCGTGCTAATAAAGGTTACGCTAGCCAGGTTCGTTCGTTGGAGGAAGAGGTAACTTTTTTGAGGGGCGAGCTGGTGTCCATAACCGAGGAGCGTCTTCACGACGAAGTGGTCCTTAGTAGCAAGGAGGCAGATGTGGCCAGGCAGAGGGTGAGTCTTTCGGCTCTAGAGGCCGAAAATACGGCGCTGAGGAAGAGGCTTGAGGAGGTTGAGCGTGCGGTCGTGGTGGAGCATAAGAGAGGCTTTCTCAAGGCAGCTCGGCAGGCTAGGCTCCTCGCGCCGGGGTTTGACTTTTCCGGAATGCATGTGGAAAAGGTCTTTCGCTTTGGGCGGTTGGTCCGGGAGGACGATGTTGAGGATAGTTCTAGTGACAATGCCTCTGTATAGGGTGACTTGGATATGTGTATATATTTTTTGTTTCTAACCTTGTATATGGGTTGTAATTTTTGTGCACGCGAGTGCTGAGATTTTCTCCCGAATTTGCTGTGTCGGGGCTTGGATTTGTTTTTTGGCTTTTTGCCTAAAGTTGTGTGGTAGATTTATTTATGTCTCGACGAGTTTTATTTGAAACCATTAGTGGTGGTGTTCGTTTTCGACCCCAGATAGTCGTTAAGAGGTTCGTTTTTGACCTCTACTACTTGTAATTAGGTTCGTTCTTGACCTTCGTTTTCGACCTCCCTTAATCGTAACAAGGTTCATTCTCGACCTCTATTGATCGTTATGAGGGTCGCTTTCGACCCTTATTTGTCGTTAGGGGGTTCGTTTTCGACCTTCATTGACTGTAATGAGGTTCGTGCTCGACCTCTATTGATTGTTAGGAGGTTCGTGTTCGACCTCCGTTTGTTTTTAGGGGGTTCCTTTTCGACCTCCCTTAATCGTAACGAGGTTCGTTCTCGACCTCTATTGATCGTTATGAGGTTCGTTTTCGACCTCTGTCTTTAGGAGGTTCGCTTTCGACCTCCATTGACTGTAATGAGGTTCGTGCTCGACCTCTATTGATTGTTAGGATTCGACCTCCGTTTGTTTTTAGGGGGTTCGTTTTCGACCTCCCTTAATCGTAACAAGGTTCGTTCTCGACCTCTATTGATCGTTATGAGGTTCGTTTTCGACCTCTATTTAATTATGAAAAAAGGAAGTGCAAGTAATGGAGGAAGAATGAAAAGAGGGTGAGTCGTTTTATCGACGAAAACTGTTTATTTTACAATTTTTAGAAGTAAAATTTGAGGTGGGTGGCATTCCAAGTTCGTGGTACAGGCGTTCCGTTGAGCTCCTCTAGTCGGTAAGCGCCGTTTTCCAGGTTTTCTGTAACTTGGAATGGGCCGCCCCAAGTGGGTGCGAGTTTCCCATCTGTCGCGTCTTTTCGGGCTTCCCCGAGTAGTCGCCATACCAAGTCGCCTGCTCGGAAGGAACGGGGTTTGACTCGGGAATTATACCTCCGGGAAGCTCGGAGTTTGCAGGCCTCTTCGTGGACTTTGGCTTCGTCTCTGATCTCGTCTAACAGATCGAGGTCGGTTGCTAGTTCGTGGGTGTTTTGTTCGTTGTTGAAGACTTGTCGTCGGTGGGACGTTTGTCCGATTTCGACTGGGATCATTGCGTCGGCCCCATAAGTTAACCTGTAGGGTGTTTCTTGCGTGGCTGACTGGGGGTGCAGTGATACGCCCAGAGGATACTGGGAAGCATGTCGGGCCATTGTCCTTTTGCGTTCCCTAGTCATTTCTTGAGTTCTCGGAGGATGACCTTGTTTGCTGCTTCGGCTTGCCCATTGGTTTGGGGGTGCTCTACCGAGGTTGGGAAGTGCTTGATTCCGAGCTCTCGGAGGAAGTCCTCGAATTCTCCTGCGACGAACTGTCGCGCATTGTCGGTGACGATAGTGTGAGGGATCCCAAATCTGCAGACAATGTTTTTCCATGTGAATTTCCGCACGTTTTCCGTGGTGATTTTAGCTAGTGGGCATGCCTCAATCCACTTGGTGAAATAGTCGACTGCTACCAGGAGGAATTTTAGTTGGCCTTTCGCGGGGGGGAATGGCCCAAGGATGTCCATTCCCCATTGGGAGAAAGGTCATGCTGACATCATCTGATGGAGGGCTTCGGGGGGTTGTCGGTGTGCGCTGCCGAATTACTGACACTCCTTACATTTCTGGATGTAATTTTGGCAGTCTGATTTTAAGGTGGGCCAGTAGTACCCAGCTCGGAGCACCCTGGCTGCCATTGAGCGAGCCCCGGTGTGCATTCCGCATATTCCCTGATGGATTTCTTTGATGACATAGGTTGCTTGCGACGTGGTCAAACATTTGAGTAGCGGAGTGGAGATTCCCCGCTTGAATAGTTCACCATTGATGATGATGAATTTTGCTGACCGTACTCTCACCCTTCGTACCTCATCTGTGTCTGTAGGCAAGGTGCCCTCTTGTAGGTAGCTCCATATGTCCGCCATCCATCCCAGCTCTTCGCTGTCGTTGGCGTTCACGATTTTGTCTTCCAGGCTAGGTGAATGCAGGGTTTCCTGGATGATGGTTCGGTGTTGACCGGGTTTTTTGGTACTGGCGAGTTTTGACAGGAGGTCTGCTCTGGCGTTTTGTTCTCGCGGTACATGTTTTACGGAGAACTCATCGAAAGTAGCAGATTGCTCCGTCGTTCTTCTGTTGGCCTTCGTTCATCATATGCTTGGCTTGACATAATTTCTTGCTATTTATAAAGCTACCAAGAAAGACCGATCATTAAATTACTTCATGAAATCAACTTTTGTAAATCCATGCCTTGAAGCAAGGGTGTCATGCATCATCATATTCCTTTGCATTGCTAGCTTTTTTGGGCTCCAATCTTAGTATCTTATTATCTATAACTCATTCTTAATATGTCCAAATGTAGTTATGAGAGATGAAAAAAAAAAATTCACTTTACCTCTCCTCTCCAAAATAAAACTCTATAGTTTGGTAAATAAATATTTGGACAAATAAGAACAACTGCATGAAATCTGTATCATTAAGAATGTGATTTTCATATAATAAAAATTTATTTAACATTATTGCATTTGTTGGATTCAACTGCAGGCCGGTGCAGTTCTTTTTTCAGCTGTAGGATGATTCTATTCCAATCACAAACTAAATGTTTAAGGAACCAAATAAGGAAAGAAATAAAGAAAATAAAAAAAAATAACATTTTTAATATATAAAAATATAAAACCAGGATTCGCAGTAAATCTGTTTGTCATTTATATATTCCCATCAAAACTCAATCCAAAATAAATATGAGTGTTTAACTAAACCAAGAAAAAATTTATAATTGGATTATAAATTAACTTATGAATGATAAAAATGGAAAAATTAAAAGTAGGAATAAAAGAAAAACATAATAAAGGGATCTCAAATTAATTCAAAATTTAATGATATATACTAAGAAGATAAAAAAATGTAATTAAACCAAAAAAATGTAATACAAACAAATGATTAGTCATAAAAGTCACTCACTACAAAAAAAAAAATGCGTGATTTGTGGCGGTTATTTTGGTGGTTTCTGGCGGTTAAAAACCAACAAATGCAATATTGCAAACAGTAATGATAGAGACGAAAGAACAAACGAAGGAGCTTGAACAGTAATATTGCGGTCGTTTAGGTTGACTATTTTGAACTAAAATTGTAAAGGTGAGGGTGAGATGAAGAAGGCGAAGAGAGGATGAACAAACCTTGTGAGGTGCTGAAGCACATGGACGCGCGCGGAAGCTGGGGATGGCGGGTTCGTGAGGCTTTTCATGAACTAGAAATTGTTTTTTTTATTTTTTTTAAATTGATTTTATAAGTTTTTTTTTTTTTAATTTCATAAAAGAACTAAGGCACGTATAATTAATTAAATAAAAAATTATTGAACGTTCTGGCAGTTTTAAACCGCCAGAAAGTGTCAACACTGTAATGATTATCATTCCTGCGGTTTTAAACCGCCAGAAAGTGTCAATAATTTGTAGCATTTGCCATCCTTTCCACAAATGTAACATTTTTTGGCGGTTTATGGAAACCACCAGAAAAAAATTGCCAATAATTACCTATTTTTTTGTAGTGACTATATTAATTAATGGAAAATGGAAAAATGAAGATTTCTTTTTGGGATAAATTTAAGGACACTAATTAAAGAATAAATAAAAAAAAAATATAAACGTAGTGTTACCAATATTTGTTGTAGTTTTAAATATAATTTTATCATAATTTTCAATAAACAGTATTTACTAATATCTTCATAAATGCTTTTATGTTACTCGTTAACAAGACTCTTAGAGCATCTTTAATAGGGTTGCTTATAAGCAATTTCCTGTACCACATCACTGCCAAATCAGCACTGGTCCACTGCACATGGTTTCTTTTGTTTTATATATTCTTGTCTTCATAGGGTAAAAGACTAATGAAGGAAGGAATTACAACTTTGTTTAAAGAGAATGAAGTTTCTTCCATCTGAAGTAAAGATTCAGACATATATAAACTACATTGATATATTCTTTTGCAGTTCCATTCAACACTTATGGCACCTCCTTTACCCGCCAGACCTGGTGAGAATTCTTCAATGTCTACACCTCCTTGGCGCTACGTGACACGTCAGAATATAAATGTTAGTGGTGAGAATTCTTCAATGTCTAGACCTCCTTGGGGCGCTAGGACAGGTCAGTATATAAATATTGGTGATGAGAATTCTTTAATGTTTATGTTCTTTTACAATTTTTAGAGTAAAACTATTAGGAGAAATACTTGCGACATTTATTTCAATACTTTCTTTATTACCCTTTAAGTTCTAAAATAATTATAATTTTAACATTTAAAAATTGTCTTAAAATGATTAATGTTTTTACTCTTCAAAGTAATATTTATTAGTTTTTTCCCTAATTTGTCCTTTCATTAATTATTCAACTACTACAATTAAAAATAATACATTTATTAAGAGAGTGAGATATTTCAGTAAAATTGTATCAAAAAGTGATTATATATATAT